GATAAGTTAATTCATTTAGTAAATATATACTGAGTACCTCTTATGTGCTGGGCATTGTCCTGGGTGATATAGCAGTGAGCACAGCTGACCAGGTTCTAGTTTTTGTTGGATTTATTATCTAGTTAGAGAAATAGACTTTAAGCAATGAAACAAATAAGATGTTAGGCAGTAATGTGTTTACAAGAAAGAAAAGCAGCAGGATAATTTGATAGTGACTAGCTTGTGGTGATGTAGTGCTTTAGATTTAGTAGGTAAGGAAATGAAGGTGACATTTGATATCCAAACATCAAGACAAGGCCATTTGTTGCCCATTCTGACATGGCAACTCAAGTGACTTAACCTTTGAACCTTCTAAAGTTCTGTCTCTTCAAACCTGTCAAAAATTTTTATGGAAAGCACATCATGTGTGTGAATTCTTGTTGATGGAGTTTGGGGTATTTCCGCCCTTTTGCCCTTCTTTTTTTGTGTGCTCGTTTAAAAGGAACAAATACATCTTTTCTCTCTTGATTCAGTTCCCCAAATGTTTGCCATTTTCAAAGCAAATATACTGCTTGACTTAACAGGACTTTCAAAGGCAAACTCCTTGACAGGCTGTCAGCTTGGAATTGTACAAGGCTGGGTTTCACTTATTGATCTCATTTATCTCTTACATGTTTTTTGTACACTATTCAGTTCTTTATCTACCTTTTGTGATCTGCAGAGTATTGGGATCGAGATTTCATGCACATCACTTTTATAGGTAGGACTGTTACTATTACGAGGCAACTTAATGCCTTTATTGGCCTTTTTTAGGAGTGCTCAGGAAGTTGTATTACATTACTGTGTTAACAAGGTACTGGGATCACTGAACAGGAATTAGACTGTGGTAGGGACCACAGACAGCAGTGTCTGTGTCTGTTTTTTTCCGTAAGTTTGGTTCTTCATAAGATCAGAGACCGTCCCCGTTTGTAGGCAAGACTTTTAGAATTCTGTGTATACATAGCTTGAAAATAGGGTAGCCACAAGAATTAAGGGGCCTTCCAGATTGTTTTGGACCACAAGTGTGAGTTCCTGCTCATGACAAATATTCTAGCTTTGTGTATTTTCCCTTGTCTTCCTCATGCTAGATATCTCATAGACATCCTTAGAACAGAACATCAGGTCTTCATCAGACCCTGTAGATTGACATGCTCAACTTAGAGTAAATTACAATGATCTCAAAACATGTCACCAAAAGATGACAAAAAGGCATTTGATAGAGTTCAACAGCCCTTCTTGATTTAAAAAACAAAAACAAAAAAAAACTTGGTAAGCTGGGAATAGATGGATACTTTCTTAATCTTATTAAAAAAAGAAATTCCAATCAAAATGCATCATTAGGCTTCACATTTGCAACATTCCTAACAAAGAGTCAGACATCACAATTGCTTGAGAACACATTCTGGAAATACCAACTAATGTTGAAATGTGAAAAAATATGGTGTTTTAATACTGAAAAGGAGAAGAAGGACTTGTATTTTAAAAATACGGTAATCTAGTGGATATACAACAAAACCAATAGACACAAAGTTCAGTATGTTTTCTTGTGTTTAAACAGTACTCTAAAAAGAATGTATTTATAATAGCGGTAAAAAATATTAAATAACTAGTAATTTATAATAGCAAATTTGAGTAAGCCTAGGACTATGTAGGACCTATATGTAGACAACTGTAATTAAATGTGATTTTAATCAATACTAACAACACTAACATAACAAACTCGTTTTAAAGTTTATCTGGTAAAATAAGCATGAGAGTAGCTAGAAAAATTCCAAGGGGAAAATATTGATGAATTGGATGGGAAACTAACTAGCCCTTATTCCTAAGTATTAAAACATGTTATGAAAGACTTCGATATTAAAATATTTTAGCACTGATAGTGAAATAAATTACTAGAACCAAATGGAGATTTCAATAAAAACCCCAAATGTATAAGTCCATTTAGTATATGTTAAAATGTGTTTTTCTAATCAGGGGGAAAGATGGATTATTCAACATGTAGGGATAACTGGCTAGTAATTTGGATAAACATAACTCCAATCTCTGCCTTGATTTTATATAAGAATAAAATTGCAAATGGACCAAATATACAAACATTAAAAATGCAGCTTTGGAGCAGTGAAAACATCAGTGAAATTTAAAAATTAATTTGATCAAGGGAAGGTCTTTCTAAATGTGACTGACACTAATCTCAAAAGCTAAAAGAAAAATTGATATATCTGACTACATAAAAATTAAAATACCTAAGTTCATTAAAGAACTTAAATGCTAAAACACATGCTGAGAGGTAAGGGAGTGGACATGTGCTACATATTTGATTAAGGGCAAATGTTGTTTAAAACCCAAAGTTCTCTTATAAATTTATAAAAAGAAAGCTTCCCAAAAAAATGTGTGGAATACACAAACCATTCATAAATACAAAAATAGACAGGAGACTTGTAAGGATGATAGTCTTTCTGATTAATGAAGAAATTCACAAAAGCAAGATACTATTTTGGACCTATCAGACTGGCTCTGATTTGCTTCTCAGTGATGTCAGGGATGTAGGAAAATCTCATAAATTGTTTGTGGAAGTGTGAATTGATGTAACATTTTTGGAAGGAAATTTAACAGTATCTATGAAAATTAAAAATGCTTGGATCTTTGGATCTAGCAGTTCTACTCAGAAGAATTTATCACAGGAGTTACTCAAAGATATATGTGAAAGAATGTTCATTGTATCATTGTGTGCAATGGTAAAAATTTTAAAACAGATAAATGTTGATATTTTATTTAAGTGAAACGCTTTAAAGTTAGGAAAGTTGATATTTGCATAGCAAATGTATTTGAAAACTAACGAAAGCTGTCAATGGAGAGGAGAGGAATTGGGAGGTTGAAAGGAATAGGATATAGGGGAATTTTATTTTACTGACATCCTTCTGTGCTTAAAATTTTCCTTTCATTAAAAACAAGAACAGCCGGCCAAGTGGCTCAGTTGGTTAAGAGCTTGCTCAAGAGTGCGAGCTCTGAGCAATAGGGTCGCCGGTTTGATTCACGGCCCGAGCTGAGCTGCCGCTGAGCTGCCAACAGGTGGCAGGAGGGCTCAGCAAAAAAAAAGAACAAAAAACAAGAACATGTATTACTTTTATACTTTAAAATAAAAAAAGAAATCAAAACAGTATCAGAGTTTAGATTTGTACCAAAACATAATTACATTGCACGGGATTTTATTCCTCCTAATAGAAAATGCAAAACGAGGAGCCTTTCATTTTGTGGTCAAATAGCATTTATTTAGTATTTGAGAATAACATTGATTTTGTGCCCTAAGTGTTAACAGCATGTGGTCTGCCCACCTATCCAGTTCCGAGGTTTTCATAAAAGAGCTAGCAGCACTTCCTCTTTTGGAAACTTTCCTACCCTTTCATCTACCACCACGCTCCTGACTGTTTCACCAGTAGGTTTTATCACAGTCCAAAACTAATGAAAGTATTTGCTCTAGATCTTACCGTAATTTGGTTAGGCAGTGGGCAAAGTGCTACTCCCAGAACCAGTTTGAGACCCATGTCACAATTGCCCTCTAAAATATCATTAAAGCCCTCCTGTCTGCAGCCCCCCAACATTATAGTTCTCCAGTTTTATATTTAACAGAATGTGGGAGTTCTTTAGGGAAGAACTTCTTAAACAACGCTATTCCATATTGCATGGTCTTTATCACTTTGTTCTAACAATGAACTCCCTTCTCTATTTTGATATACACACGGGCCATTTTCAAATCATGGTCTTGCCATTAAGCTTTCCATACTTAATATGATAAAATGATGAGTGGTTGTCTTCTCCCTACAAGTACAGAAAAATTCTGATGTATGAAACACAGTCATGGCTTCCAACCCCAGCCAGACTAACCACACAGAGGTAAGTCTTCTACGTTGAGTTGGTTGAGACTCTTAGTGTGGCTCTTCATAAGTAACCTTGATCAGAAAATAGCATCTCCCAGAAGCAAGTTGTGCCTTAAATCTAGTTAAATGCTTTTGTTAAAAAGTCACTGGAGTCGAAAATCATTACCCATGCTACATTTATCAGCAATATGCTGTGTTATTTAGGTTTTCCCATCTTTTCCAACATTTCTCCAAAAGTTATCTTTGTCCTCCCAAACTAACTTCTAGCATGCCGTTAATAGGATCTTTGTACTTGAAGCCGTAAGGAAACACTTTCTTCTAAGAGCTAATTGTGACCATTTGGCAAAGGTCAAGAATAGAAAGCTCTGGTTATTGAATTTCCTAAGGTCAGTTTTATTCTTAGATTTCTTTTCAAGTTCGTCTCTACTTCAATATCTAGTTTCTATAGCAACTAAGATACAGTTAGGTGCTGGGTCAGAAAAGACAATTCTTTAGATGTTAAGAAATTTAGTTTTTAACCTAGCGAGGGAAAATGCCAGGCAGGCAACACCTTCACAGCTTTCCTGGGCTGACACCTACCTTCTATTTCCAGGCATTCTGTATTTTTTTCCTGAAGAGGCCAAACATTTATCTCTCTTTCACACAGCCCCAGAAAAGATCACTGCATCTCTGTTCAATAACTTAATCACAAATTGATTAACTAAATCAAGGCAGCCAAGAAAGAGAGAACTCTTCTGTGGAGAAATTGTAGTGTCCGGTAGAATTATTTTTCTTCAAAAGTATGTCTTTGGGAATTATGTAAATTGTCTCTTTACCTTGCATCCCTTAACGATGCTTGTTTTTTTTCCTCAAGTGCAATGGGAAAAATCTTGTATGGTACTTTTCTCTGTTCTCAGTCTATCTGGATTAGGGTACAGACTATTGCATCGCTGAGGTGGGAGAAATGTCAGACACTAAAAAGGATAACATCAAAGAGATGGCGTACGTACTTAATGTTACGTCTTCAGAAATATATATAGTACTTTAAACGGAAACTAGGTGCTTTTTTTTTTTTTAAGTTAAGTTGTGGAAGCTTGAGGAATGTTAATGCTTTTTTTTATATTATAGGAACTACCTTCAGTTGAAGAACTCACTATTATTCTTCCTGAAGATACTGAATTAAAGCCTTTTGGGATGGTTTCAAGTATTATTGAACAATTAGGTATGCAAATAATTTTATTAATAGAAATTATTGTTTATATCCAAACATGCATTAATAGTTAACATGGATAAATTCAGTTTTTACTTATATAAGTAATCTATAAATACATTGTATTTATAAAAATTTAAGTCTGCTTTTTTTTTTTTTTTTAAGATTTTACTGGGGAAGGGGAACAGTGTTGGGGAATTGGGGAAGGGGAATAGCCAAATTGTTGTCCTTTAATCTTAGTTGTGGAGGGCGCAGCTAGCTCAGTTCCAAGTCCAGTCACCATCCAGCCACCCGTTGGCAGCTCGCGGCTGCTCAGCTCAAGGTGCCGTGTTCAATCTTAGTTGTGGGTGGGCTTAGCCCACCATTCCATTGGGAGTCGAACTGGCAACCTGGTTGTTAGGAGCATGAGTTCTCACCAGCTGAACCATCCTGCTACCTGTTGGCAGGCAGCTCAGCTTGGGCGCAGCTCACTGGCCCATGTGGGAATCAAACCGGCGATGCTGTTGCCCAGAGCTCATGCTCTTAACCAACTGAGCCACTCGGCCAGCTCTTAAGTCTGCTTTTATGGACACGTTTCTCCAGAATTTTCTTCGTGTGACATTCGTTTTCTATTGTTATTAAATTACTACAAATTGAGTGGCTTAAAACAACAGAAATGTAGTATTTATTTTACAGTTCTTTGGGACATAAATCTGATGTGAGTCTTACTAGGCTAAAATCAAGGGATGCATAGGGCTGAGCTTTTTTGTGGAGGTTGTAGGGGAGAATCCATATACTGGCGCCTTTTAGCTTCTAGAGGCTGCCCGCATTCCTTGACTCATGGCCCCTCCTTTGACCTCAAAGCCAGTAGTGTGGCTTCTCCCTGAAAGCAGCCTGGAAAGGTTCTCTGCTTCTAAAGAACTCCTTTGATTGGGCTTAAATGCATAATCCAGGATAACCTCTCCATCTCAACATCCTTAACCTTAATCCTAGCTGCAAAAAAAAAAAAAAAAAATTAACGTTAAGTAACATATTCACCAATTCAGGGATTAGGATATCTTTATTTTTTTTGGGGGGGGGGGTATTATTCTGCCTACTGCCTTTGATTTTATCTTGTAAACATGTAAATTAGAAAGGTCTGTGATGTAATACTGACATTGATGGCATAAAATATGAAGCTGTTGGATTTTAAGAGGACAAGATATTACAGGCTTCTTTTAGCCCCAAGATGTGAAGTAGGTATATGAAAGACCCCGAAGTTAACATAGCTGCCAGTCATTCTCAGAGTAACATACACCTGAAAATAGAAGTCAGAGTTGACAAAGTCATAGGATTTTTGAACTGGGAAAAATACCTAGTGTCCACCAGTCCCCTTAGTTTACAGGACTTAAAGGACACAGCAAAAATAGAAGAGAAAATGTACCTACCTGGAATTTGTTGACTTTTTAATGGGTAATTCAAATTTTCAGTGAGATTTTACACTTTATTTTATTTCTTAGAATTGTAGCTTTTTGTATTAAATAAAAATATGAAGAAACTATTTCCCTGTGCTACTAGGTAATAAATAGACTTTGTTTATCAAGGGGAATAGAGGTATATTATCTCACTTTAAATTTCATGTTAAATTATGTTGGAATTAGAGCCTAAATTCTCACTTAAATTCTATATTCTGATAAAATCTTGAAATAATCTGTTTTGTTTCATTTTTCAGTAATAATTGAATCTATGACTAACCTACCTCCAGTTAATGAGGAGACTGTAATTTTTAAAAGTGATCGAGAGGCAGCAGGAAAGGTTTGTAAAAAAATCAAATGTTAGAAATTATTCTGTTTCTTGGTTGACTGGTTTTTCTGACTTTCCCTGTCTGTCCTAAAAAGAGTTTAGTAATTTTAGTAGATGAGCAATCTAAAGCTCCTACATTGAACATTTCCTTAGTGCATTCTCGATTTTCTTGAATACTAAGTATCTGTCCGTGTATTGGTTTAATACTGCTAGTCACTCTTTACTGCTTGAGTCATTAAGTGCATATGTATAAAATTGTTTCCTTATGTTTGTTCAGGTACTTTGCTAGGTAGTGGCTCTACTTACTGAGTAAGACACAGTTCCTACCCCGGACACTCAGAATGAAGTGCAGAGACTTTCCATGGTGCAGTAGTTCTTCATCTTTTCTGGTTTGGCAGCCCCTTGGAGGAGTGGCTCTTACAACTTTTTAGACTTTGGCTTCGTCATGTGGAAGCTGAGAGCAATGTTTTCCAAGTGGAAAATGATTTCAGTGATGGCAGTCAAGTGTCACTGTAAGCACATTTTGGGGAATTATGAATATATGTACTTGAGTATGTGTCATAAGGTTGGGTCCCTTTTAGCGTCCTTTTTTGTTAAAGTTTATTGGGGTGACAATTGTTAATAAAGTTACGTAGGTTTCAGGTGTACAGTTCTGTAATACATCATCTATTGTGTGTTCACAGAGTCCTCCTTTCATCACTGTATATTTGATCTCTTTTACCCTCACATACCACTCCCCCCCCTTCCCCCACTTACTGGCAGAGGTGAATAAAACTCTCCAACTTCCAGAAAAGAAACACTTGGTTAATGTTTATATCCTTGATCTTAGAAGGTTTTATGCCCTCTGCTGACCACTCAGAAATTGCGTATTTAATGGTTAAAATGTGTGTGGTCTTCCATACTAAGGACTGAACAACTCTTCACATCCATCCTTGGTATGGAAGACCACACACATTTTACCCATTAAATACTCAATTCTGAGTGGTCAGCAGAAGGCATAAAACCTTCTAAGATCAAGACTATAAACACTAACCAAGTGTTTCTTTTCTGGCAGTAGGGACAGGGTTTTATCCACCTCAGTATTTCCCACTGTATGAAATACAGTTCTTTGTAAATTGTATGTGCTAAGTAAATGTGTATTGAGTTGAAAACAAATAACAAACCAGCTGTTATTTGGAGAAGCAACTTTCTGTGGTTTAATTTTTCCCAGATAAGCAACAGTTGGCTTCTTTTTTTGTTTTAGACAATATGACTAATTTTTATTTAATCAGGAAACAAAGCACATATTTTGAATTATATCATTGGGTCATCACATAACCTTCCCTTTTCTCTGCCTTTTCCTTCTCCATTCTAACACAAATTAGAAAGGGATCAGATTTTTATCAGGGCCCTTCCACCTTGCACGATGCCTACATATGTTTTCTTAGGTTGACAGGCATTAATTTAGCAAAGAAAAATGAGTCACTTAGGATTGCAAATAATCAGTGGCCGAATTAAGCGGAGTCTAGAACTAATATTTTTTGGCAGTTTTTGAGAAAGTTTGTGAGGGGAAGAAAGACTTTAATGCCTGAAGGATGGTGCTCTACTTTTTTCCCTTTGAAATACTTAGGCTTAGTGTTTTTGTTGCAAATATGGGCACTGCAGGTACCTTCTAAGGGATTAGAGAGATACTGGGGGACTTATCCTAGGAGAAGGCTGAGAGAGGACTGCTATGAGTACTTCTCCATGCTAATTGCATAGGACTGCTTTAGAACAAACCCACGTTCTGCCCTGGTGCAAAAACAAAACATTTCTTTCTGTCCTCAAGAAAGTAGTAGAATAGGGAAGGGAAAAGAGGTAAAGGAAACATATTTCTTGATTTTTCTGACTGTGAATTGAAACTGATTATTTCCATGATTCCTTTTTCTTATGATTTGCATGACAGTTGCCTTTTTCTCTAAGATGCTTAGACAATTTTAATTTAAATATACCTAATACTTTTCTAATTAAAAACCTCTAAATTCACTTTTTTTATATCCTCTAACTCATTTGAATTCTCAGGCCTATAATTGTGACTAAAAATGTTAATATTCAGCTTTTTAGGTCATTTGACTTTGAAAGGAATCAGATAAAAATGTAATATTTACATCTCTAACTTTAGCTATGAAATGTAAGTCTAGAGGGAAATGTTTATTAAATCTATTTTTAAATTTTACATAGAAAGCTTTCTAAATTCAAGAACTGACAAGTCTTTCAAAAACATTTGATTATAGGGCTGGCCGAGTGGCTCAGTTGGTTAGGAGCTCGCTTAAGAGTTTGAGCTCTGAGCAACAGCGGTTCAATTCCCGGCCTGAGCTGAGCAGCCGCTGAGCTGCCAACAGGTGGCAGGATGGCTCAGCTTTAAAACAAAAAAAAACAAAAAAAAACATTTGATATAAATCTAAGCACCTTGAAATAATTCCCCCAGATAATGGAGGAGTCGGGTTGGGAATTGAGAGTATTTGTTAAACAAACCAGCGACCAGAAAATGAAATTGAATCCCTTTTTAGATCTTTAGCATATCTTATTTAGACACTAAATTAGTTTACCTTCAATGTTAAACCTTTGCGTATCCTTTCTTTTTTCTCTGCTCTTAAATAACAGTAATAATGAGCCAGAGTGATAAGTATTTTGTGTATTTTTTAAAAACCCACTTTAAGTTCTGCAAGGAGATGGATTTTCCCCATTTACTCAAAAATCACAAAGCTAAAAAGGAGCAAAACTGAGTTTCCAATCCAGTTGGTCCTCCTGATTTATTTCCCTTCCACCTCCCTCCTAATTCCCACTGATTTAAGGAGGGTAACCTCAGATTTGTGTTTCTGCCTTTTTCCCTTTAATAATAATTTAATAATAATGATGATGATGTAATGATTTGCTCCTCTTGATAAATGATGAATGAAATTCCATTTTTAATGTTTAGTTTTTTAATATCGGGGATTAAAAAAAAATGACCAACCCATGCCACCCGTTATCCCTATATAGCATGAATTTGTTGGTTATTTGTTTTGCATTTAGTATATTTGTTAGAGCAGGTTTTGTTTTTTTGTTGTTATTTGTTTTACTTTTTCATAAACCAAACACTAAAATATTTCCCTGTCAAATATCATTGGATAGGAATTTTTATGGATTTTTTTTTAAAGAATGCTTTATATTACAATCATGACTGGTAGTATGTGATGATTTTCTGAAAGTCTCCATAGTATATTGATAGTGTTTTGTTTTTGTTTTTTTTCATCAGTAATGTGTAATTACTCATATAATATGGTGATTGAAGCGATTATTTGATTTAATGAATTAGAATACTCTTACTTCATTTTTATTAATGGGAAATGAAATAGTATAATGTGATAGATAGGAGACAATTCTGGATGACTGTGGAGGTTACTTTCCCTCTTGGTAGTTTAGTGCAGAGCTGGCTCAGCGGGTGGGCAGTAAGGCTTTTGGCTAATGGCATTCTTTGCAGGCTGTTCTCAGAACAGCACTGTGCAGACCCCCGCCCTCTAATGCACAGCCCTCCAGCATTGTTCCCAGGCTTGGGCATTCCTTAACTTGTTCCTTGTCGCCTAGAGAAACTGGGAGCTACCTAACCCCCCTTAGGCTAACCCATAAGTGTGACATGGTGTGTGTGCAGATGGGACGAGAGCGCAGCTTGTTAGTCTCTCCCTCCCTCCCTCCCTCCCTCCCTCCCCCTCTCCCTCTCCCTCTCCCTCCCTC